GCCCTTTTCTTATTTAAATACTACATACTTATCACCTTCCACTTGTCACTTAGCTATACCTCTGATACTTCTGATTACTACTGATCAAGCACCCTGTGTTCTGAGTATCCTGCTAAGTGCCTAAATGGATGATCTCATTTAACCCTCAGAACAAGGTGGCACTGCTGAGGGAGAGAGGCTATAATTGTTTCCATTTTGCAAGGGTTGCAGTGGAGGCTTGGAGAGGTTCACTGACTCAACCAGCATCACACGGCTGGTGATGGGGAGGCCTGTGTCTTCTAACTCCTAGCTCAATGGCCAGTCCCTTCCTCTACACTGACTCTCAGCTACAAGTTCTCTAGGGGCCATTTGTGTTGACTTCTTTGAAACAGCCAATTCATCTTTAATTATCAAGTGAATTTCTAATGGTTCTGTGAAAGGAAATTCTCAGTCTCACAAATATTTGCATCAAACTCTTTATAAGACTATTTTTTTCCCCAAGATTTTTCACTGAGTGTCTGTTCCTGTCCAGCTCCAGAATCTACCACCCACTATGGGGGCAGACCAAGGGCAAGATTCCTTCCCCTCCTCTCCCGCCCTCTGACAAATGTTTCTGTAGAACAACGTGAACCAGGTAGGGTGTTACGCTTTGAAGGGGTCACAGAGATGAAGAACACAAGCTCCCAATTTTCCAGGTACTGGCAGGAGAAAGATTTAAGGATACACATGCCTATGAAACAAGGCAACCCTTAATTAGTGAACTGTGAAGACAGAAGGCAAAATTAAGTGCTCTAGAATTTCAGAGGCTGAACTCACTTCCAGAGGTGCCACCAATAGACTCCAGGAAGGAGATGGCTGTCGAGGCAAGCCTAGCAGGAGGAGCAGAATTTCAACCAAGTGTATGTGGAGACTTTCCTTGGGCTGGGTCATAGATGCTTTCTGTTTTCTGAGTTGCTGGCCTGTGTGATAAACATACTAGGACCTTAAATAAAATTTCTAGTTGGACACTAGCCACTTGGGGCGAGGCCAGGAATCATGGACTTGGTTCTGATGCCACCACTGGACATAAATTGGTTAAGTCCTGCTGCTGCTCTGGGCTTCTGTTCTTCCCAACTATGAGCTAGGGATATGGAGGTGAATGGGTCTAACCTTGCTCATGGGTTTCTGCTTAGGATCAGATTAAGTTAATATATACAAAACTATTTGCAGGCCAAAATGAAATATAAATACAAGAGATGATCTGTGACTACTCTTATTGCTGTTTTAAAAACGAGAAAGAACCAATGCCCAGGTACTTCTCATTTATCCAACAATGTTTTTTGGACTAACTACATTGGGTCAGGCACCGGGGATACAAAGATGAATACCATCCACCCTTTATCCTTAGAATCTGAAAGGCGTAGGAAAGCAGACAGTAAGTACAATTGATGGTATAAGTTTAATGTACTAGGGCAGAGGCTGGGCTGGAATTTGGCAGGAGCTCTCTTTTAGTGATAGTGCAGGTGGGTGGCAACGCTAAAGAGAACTTCAAAATCAGGAATTCAACTGGTATACCCCAACATAAAATCACATTAAAGGGGAAGAGAACACTTTTTTAAAGTTGGAGCTCATACTATGTTCCAGGTACTGTGGCATCCATCATCATAACAAGCTAGATATTATTATCCCCATTTTACAGATCAGGAAGCTGAGACTCGGGGAGATTGGGGAACTTCCCCAGGTTTCTAAGACTAGAAAGTATAAAGCCTAAATTTAAATCCAGGTCATTTGACTGCAAGCTTGGTGCTCAACCCAGTACCGCATCTTGCTTTCTGATCAGCCAATGGTTTTTACAGAACTCATTTCATGCTAATGTGGAATGACCTTTCTTGGGTTGCTTTCCCAAGGAGAAAGACTGATGATCTGTGATGAGATTTGACAATAACCTTTTCTGTTGTCATTTCCTCTTATACTTCCTATGATAAATCCCTTCCCTGCCGCTATTCTCTCCTGACTTCTCTCTCACCTCCCATCCCAGTGAAATTGCCAAAGAGTAACGAAGCCCAACAAATGAAGAGCCTGCAGAGAGACAGCGCTACCTTTTTTGCCACTGGCCTGTAAATTGTGAGACCAACACACTTCAAGAAGGAAGAAACCTGCCATATAATTCTGTCCAAGGAGTCCAAAACCTGGCCATGCCTTAATCCTGTGGATTAAGCCATAAGGAACTTACGCGCCAGAGGAATTTACATGATTGTCAGATTTGCCTATTTAACAGACAATGAAAACTGAAACCCAAGAAGGTGGAAGGACTTACCCAACATCACACACTAGTGAGAGGCAGAGTCTGGACTGGAACCCAGGTCTCTTGACTCCCCAGGCTAATGCATTTCCACTAAAACGGGTTGCCTCTTTAGTTTTTCCTCATTAACATCTCATCTTAAATGAGATCATGGCCCTTTAAGAAAGAAAGCTTGACTTTGGTGTCTCTGCAAAGCCCAGAAGCCAAGGCTCCCTCCTTGGCCTCTGCTCTGATCAGTTCATGTTCTCATCTAAAGAATAGGAAGTAGCTTCATTTTAGCTCTGAAAGCATATTCTTGGGGTGGGAAAGGGGGATTTGGGGAAGAGAGTTCCTGTACAAGATGGTCAAGAGCGATCAGCAGACACATTACTTTTGCCTGAAGAAGGGGAAGGTACATGGTAAGACATGTAAGGGGAAGATGACAGTTGTCCTTGAGTCCCAGGCAGAACATGTCCTCAACAAGAGCTCCCCCACAGCCCTGGGTGAGGGGAGGCAGATTCTACCCAGATTCTGTTCTGCCTAGAGGCCAGAGTCGGGGTTGGGGTGGGAACACCGGGGTGGGAACACTAGGGTGGGAAAATTTGCAGGAACTTTCTACAAACTCCAACACTTCCCCCACCCTCTGTTAGCACCCACAACTTCCCCTGCCAAAGGAGAAAGGAGGAACATTACTCAGTTTAATAATTTATACAAATCAAAAACTTCAGTGTGTGAAATAAAAAGGACTTAAGGTGTCAGAGAAAAAAAAATTCTCGAGTCCTCTCTTAAAGGACAGAGGTGTGGAGATGACACTTCTTGGTGACCTTGCCTCGAGATATAACAATCTGGTTCTCTAATAGATGGGTCTGAAATAAGCCACTCCCTTCGATGGTCAGCCTGGTTTGTCTCCTTACCCTGGTGGGGTCACATCCAGCCTTAGGACTAACAGCCTGGGACATCAAAGAACCCAGACCCAGATTCATGGACACTTGTCTACGTAAGTGGTTCTCAAACTTGGCAGCCTGTCAGATTGTCTAGGGAGCTCATTACAAATTTAGATTCCCAGGAACCAACCTAGAGATTGATTAGGGAGATCTGGGCTAGGGCCCAGGCCTCTTTATTTTCAATAGGCAGGCCTGGTTTAAAAACCAATGATCTGGTTCAATGCCATCCATTCAGTTACCAAAACTTTTACACCAGACGCTGGTTTTATAGCAAAGAAAACTGAGGTGCCAAAAAGCACATTTGTGCCAGCACTTGGATTCAAATCCATTCTCCTGCCTCCTGATGTGTGGGGTCTTGGCCAAAGCCCTCACATATGGCTTCTCTCCCCCAGCTCACCAGTCCACGGAGTATCCCTGGGGGTCAGAAGCGCCCATTCATCTAATCCACAGAGAAATCAGAACTGCCAGGGGCTCTGAGTGAGTCCCATTTGGTTCATTGGTGGAAAGAGCTGGTAAGGGGTAGAGCTGAAAGTAGTTTTAGGAAAGCTGAGGAAGCTCTGTTCTGTACCCTGGTGAGTGAGAAGGGGAAGGCCCAGCTGATGGCCTCTGAGACAGCCTACCTTGTTGTTTCAGCAGAAAGAATAGTGGGTTCACAGAAGCAGCCTGCTGTGTTAAGAGGAGCCAGGGTGGCGGAGGCAGAGGCACTGAGGTGGAGAGTAAAAGAAGATGAAATCTGCAGGTAATTAGAGGCCAAACCATCTGGGGTTCTCTAGGCCATGTGAAGATCTTTAGCTTTTAATCTGAGCCACTGCAGGATTTTGAGCAGGAGAGTGGCATAAGCAGACCTATTTTCCCAGGGGCATTCTGATACAGGAGGGAGAATACCTGTAAAGGGTGGTGGGGGTAGAAGCAGAGAAGCCAGTTAGGAGGATCTGCAGTAATCCAGGGGACAGAGGATGCGAGATGTGGCTCAGACCAAGGTGACAGGAACACAGTGGAGAGAAGTAGGATCTTAGATGTTTTTTTAAAGCAGAGCGAACAGATTTTCTGATGGATTGGATATGAGATGTGAGATAAAAGGGGATCAAGGCTGGTGCCAAGTGTTTTGGCTTAAGCAACGGGCAGGCTGGAGTTATCATCAACTGAGATGGAGAAGGCTGTGGGTGGAGAAGGTTTGGGGGAGGGACATCAGGAGTTCAGTTTTGGACATGCTGAGTCACCGGCACTCACGTGGTGTTTAAATAAAGCCTCACTACACGATGAGGTCATCAAGGGAGTGAGTACAGGCAGAAAAGAGAAGAGGGTTGAGGATCCTGCCTGGGGAACTTTCAGCATCAGGAGGTTAGAGAGAAGATGGGGAATCAGCAAAAGAGACTAAGAAGGGGTAACCAGTGAGGTAGGAGGGAAACCGAAAATGTGTGGAGTCCTAGAAGCCACGTGAACAGCGTTTCCAGGAAGAGGGAGTGATCAGTTGGGTCAAATGCTGCTGACAGATGGAGCAAGGTCAAGGTTGAGACTTGACTATTGTATTTAGTCATTGAAGGACACTTGTAACCTTGACATAAGCAGCATGTCACTCCTAACCTCATGGAGTCCCACTTTGATCACTGATTATCATTTAGGGCTCCCTTATTGTAAATTTTCTCTTCTCAATTAGGTTATAAACTTTGCAGCATCAGGGATGATGAGTCAGTGTATCTCCAGAGCACCAGGTTCTTGTAAGGCTGTAGAACCTAATACAGTTTGCTAACAGACCCATCTGAACATCCCTCCCACTGGGGCACTGACCTAAGCAATTTTCCTCATGCCTGGCTTACCTTGGACACAGAGTTTCAGTTCCTTGGGGTCGGTGACGACCTTCCTGCTTTCCCGGATCACAGCACGGTTCTTCTTGGTTTCTCCCCAGAGATTGGTGCCCCCGTACATGCTGGGAATGTTGAGAATAGCAATGCCTTCAAGGAAGATGCTGCTCAGGTCCACTCCAACCCCATCACACTGGGGCACAGAGAGAAAAGGCCATCGGTTAGTGTCCTCAGCATATCCCAACCCAAGGTGCTGTGTGTGTGTGGGCGAGTGTGTGTGGTGGGGGCTCTCATGAAGAATGTGACCGGCCCTCAGCCACCAGCCGGTCTCTGTCAGAAGCTGAATCTTGGGCAAAGCTGCTCAGGCCTAATGCTTTGGCCACTGTAGTGAGATGAGGGAGGGCTAGTCCTGGTCAGCTTTGGGGAAGACAGCACCAGGCTCCAGGAATCTTCTGAGATCCTAGATGGGCTTTAGGGATGGTTCAGAAGACAACTGTAAGATTGTTCCCAACCTCATTATCATTAATCCTGCCCCTCCCTAACCACTGTGAAGATTTGGTGGGACGCTGAGTTGAGAACCTAAAATATAGCAAATGACAGAAAAGTTTCACTTTATCCCCTCTTATTTTATTCCTCTTGTGAGAAGTACAAGACTTTAAGATTTGGAAAGCTTTCAGAATTTTCCCGTCTCCTGTATCTGTATCGTGAGTGCAATTTTGGCATACGTGCTTGCTGATGTAGCAGTTTCTTTATCCAATCTTTACCACCCGCATCCCCGCCAGGTACAAAAGGCCAGAAGGCTTGAATTTGCCTGTCTCACATATCTATGAAGTCAACTCACTTTGGCATAATGCTTACCAATGCAGCAAGAAATGTATTAGCTCTGATCCTTGTTCCTCAGGACTGGAGGTAATGTTACTTCATTTACAGAAGAAAACACTGCATCCAGAGAGGTAAGCTAAACTATCCAAGATTGCACAGATGATAAATAACTGAGCAGGGATTCAAAGTTGGGGTATTTGATTACAAAACCCAAGCTCTTTATCTTGATAATTGTGAGGCAGGAAAAAAAAATCAAAAGTATGCAGCAAAAATCCACTGTCTTTGAGGTTACCTAGGAATCCAAACTTTCAGAGATTTCTCAACAGAGGAGGAATAGGAAAGGAAAGGCTTGTTGCTATTCATAATGGCATACCTCCTGATTTCTCTGAAGCTCTTAATTTATGGTATCTTAGAATCCCCACAATTTGTTTCCCCAGCTACAAAATGGGACAGAGTGAGCTTCTCTGGTTACTTGGGAATACCTTTCTTTATTGGGAAGTTCCTATTATTTGAAAGGTTCTTTTTTGTTGAACTAGATTCTCTTCCTGCTTCTGCCCATTGGTCCTATTCTTCCTTCTGAAGTCAGACAGAATGAGCCTTCTTCTTCCTCCATGGGACCGCCCACCAGACACATGATGATGTACATTAATCGTCATCATTATCATCATGCATGTGCATTAGACATTGCCATTTGCCAGGCAGGCTTGTATACACATCTCATTTAGCACCTTTATAACAAATCTTACAAGTTAGTTACCAGGATTACCCTCGCTTTACCATTGGGGAAACTGAGACACAGTGGCGGTTAAGTAACTTGCCCAAAGTCACACATCCTACAAATGTAAGTATACAGATTGACGGCAGGCAGGCAGAGCCTCAGGCTCACCCACTGCTTCCTCTCTCCTTCCTCTCACACCATCCTTGGGTGTGCCTCCTCTGGGTTGCAGGCTGCCAATTCTCTCAGCCTCTCCTGTGGGATGTGGTTTTCAGACCTCCATCCTGGGTGCCCTGTTCTGCACACACCACGGTTTGTTACTCTCCTACTCCATAAGGTCCCAGCACTGCAAGCAACACCAGCGACAGGACCTGATGGCACAGGCAGCGAGCGCCCCAGCAGTTCCTGTGATAGTGTGATCACTATCATGCCCTGGAAAGGAGATAATGTGGGCAGCCCATGTAGGGGCTCAACACATGTCCCCCATGATCATTATTCTTATTGTTAAATATGATCAGTGTTGCACGAACTCTTTATTAGCAGGAAATGGTGGCTGGATCACTTCAGCCTGAATGAGTGGTCATCTTGGGCATTCAGGCCCTCCTCCTAACATCTACTTCTCAGTCTGCTCATTTCCACCCTAAACTTGTGTAGGTATTTTTTTAATAGCTCAGACATGGGGTTTTACATTTATGTCATTTAATTTCATCTGATTTCAGACCCAGCCCTCTTCAGTCCACCTAGATTACATTAAATCTTCATTCTATGACCCTGGCCATAACTCCTGTCATTTGGAGATTAAGCCATTAATGCATGTATATAAAGGGCAAAAGCAGGGAATAAGCCCTCTCCTTGGACGGTTTAACACACCAGAAACCGTGCATCACATGGGTGTACCAGACTGTCACCCAGCCCACTTTTCATTACACGGTGGGATCATGGAACTTAGAGATGAGAGGAAACTAAGAGAACATGCCCTGGTTTCATCAGTGACGCCCAGCGAAATTAAGGACCTTGCCTGTGGTCACCCAAATTACTAATGGTGGAGCTAGGCTAGCATCCAGGCCTGCAGACCTCAATTCTGTGCTTTTTCTATTAAAACATAAGACACTGTGCTGAGATCAAACAGCATTTCCTGAATGACCACCCTACCACCTCTATCAGAAAAGGAATAAGAGAACTTATATTAAGTCACTAATACATGTAAAGGGCAACTACTTGGTTAATAATTTATTCCAGAATCTTGCTAGGGATTATGATGAAGTGCAGCTGTCTGTGGTTTCCAGAATGTATCCTTTTCTCCTTTTTAAAAAACTGAGACATTTGTCTGTTTGCCTCTCATTGGATAGAACTCACTCTGTTTCCTAGACTTACCAAAGGGGCCCCGAAAAGACATCTATAGGTTTGTCCAGCAACTTGGATTCAAATGTATGTTTTCCAAGGCTAGTTAGTTCTCTATTGATCAACCTTGGGCTCTGATACCCACCTTTATCAACTGTTCTTCCATTTTTTTGTTACGGCTACTCTCTTTCGGGAAAAGTTAAAAACTTTCAGAATGGCAAAGTCGTAATGAGCTATGGTTTCCATGTTCTTTTTTTTTAATTGAAGTACACATGATCTACAATGTTGTGTTAGTTTCTGGTGTATACGAAAAGATGCTCGTTAATGCTCATTATCAGAGACATGCAAATCCATGTTCCTTTTTGCTTCAACATTATCTAACATTCTGCTCTCCCTTCAGCTTGCCTAAAGCCAGGCTCACGGGTCTGACTTGCTCTTGTGCATTCACACTTGGCTGCATGTTCACACCCTCTTTGTGAATATGTGTACAGTCCTCCAAAAGCGTGGGCTCAGCCTATAGTTCCTTGTGGCTGTCATGGTGATTCTTTTTTTTTTTAAAGCTCTTTTCTGTTTTCTTCCTGAAAGAAACTATTAGAAATTTATTTTGAAATATCTTCCATCCCTTTGCCCTTTATACCCATATTCATATTTAAGGATTTAGGCTAGAATCTCACTGGGTCAGACTTTTCTCCAAACTCTCTGAAACCAGCTTTGTTCAACCCCGTGCCTGGCATTGAATTCTTGCACCCTAATCACCTCCTAGACAACACAATCACTTTCCCTCTTGGTTGCAGTTACTTCTGCCTGACCTCAATTTATCCATTGTTGGTCAAAACGCCCCCTCCCTCCTAGAGGTAATAATAATAATATTGGTAGTTACTTGATGAGAGCTTCCTTGCACATTGTGCTGGTCCTTCTCCTATATTCACTCTTGGAATGGTCATGTGAACGCAAGGAGGGAGGCACCACTGCTACCCACAAGTGACAGGGTATCACAGGGGTTAGGGTGCTGCCTCAAGGCTATGCAACTTCCATTCCACAAGCTGGCAGAGCTAGGTTGCAAACCCAGGCAGTCAGATGCCAGACTCTGGAGACCAAAGAGTCAGTGAGGCAAATTGAGACTTTGCTGATGTTAGACTTAGAGCGAAATTAAACTTCCAGCTGTTGTTTGAATAACTGAAATCTCCCACCATGACTCTGTCTTGTAGAGTACTTAGACCAGTGCCTGGCACATCATTGTTGGTATCAGTATTATTATATCTCGCCTCTGTGCCAGTTTTGTTTAAAAAAAAACCCACTAGCACAGCATGGTCCTTGGCACATAGTATTCCACAAAGTCACCTTTCTTCTCAACTGCCATTTTAAGTGTACCTTGTTCCCTCCATCTCTAGTTATAACAAGCTAGGAGTGTTAGTTATTAACCTGGTAAGCCATTAACCTGTCTCTGGAAGCGCAAACAGTTTTCCCTCTGCTTTATGATGGATTGTCCCCTTCCCCCACTATCTCATCGAGTCATAGGAAAACTGGGGCAAGTAGAAGATGTGGGGGTGGGGGCGAGGGGGGACGCAGGAGAAGCCTGGGGACTGTAGGATGTAGGTGCCCCCACCTTTGGAATGCACCTATTTGAAAATCGAGAGGCAATGCCCTGTCTTGGAAGGAGCATGCCTGGGCTTGGAGACAAAGAGATATGGGTTTAAATCTTGGCTCGGTCACTTGCCAGCTGTGTGATCCTGTGCTGGTTCCTTAGCCTCTTTGAGCTTTAATTTGTCACCTGTAAAGTGGGGGTTGGGATGGTGCGGGGAAATAACATCTACTTCAAGGGTTTGTCTGGTCTCTGGAAGGCAGTAGCATTCCACAACTGTCTGCATTGTTATTACAGTTAATAGTATTACCTGTGCTATGAGGCTTATTTCTTTCTCTGAATTCTGAAATCATTCTCCCACTACCTGAGCGCTTGCTGGAAGCATTTAATGGCCTCTTGGCCCAACCCATGCTAGTGAGAGCCTTGCCCGACCATACTTGCCTGCCCATTCCTCGCGGTTCTTGGCCCAGACATCACACACTGATTTCAGAACCCCCAGGGCTGCTTAGGGCTCGGGAAAGGTGGAAAGCTGCTGTGCTAGATTTGGGAAAGTGGGGCCCAGAGAAGTACACCGTTGGCTTAAGTGGAACAGGGGCCCCAGGGCCGCTCCCGGCGGGTTCCTGAGCTAAATCTTCCAACAGTTCCATGACGTCATGGGCCTCCTCCCCCTGCTCTGACCGAGGGGCTCCTGGGGAGCGCACAAGGAGGGCGGCGGTCCCTGCGCGCACCGTTA